AAGCGATTAGGTGGTTAGCTGGCTCCCCAATCCAGGTCGGGATAAGTCCAGATTTTTGCACTGCATTAGCTAGGACACGGGTCTTAGTGTTTCGTTGAACACTAAGCCCAACCTAGATTTAGGATTCGAGGCTACTACATTCGGTCTCGTAATATGCCTTAAATAGTAGGTAGGTCTCTTCCTTTTAGGGATCATAAATTCTACTTATCCGCGTCACAGGATGACGCCACCTCCATCATTCTCTCACGCATGTGACTGATTGTCTAATTTTTCTTTCTCCAGTTTCTCTTTAGTACCCTAGAGCCTCCGAATACTGGTATGAACCACGCATGTTGATTCAGCCCTTCAGACATTTCTTCCCTTTGAGTAGGACTTCCTAGTCTATACCCTCGTGCCGATCCCACTTTAGGAGGGGATAATGTATGATCCTTAATCGAGAGTTTTCTCGGGCTCCGGCCTGAGATGTAATTAACCACGGGCGCTTGCGCCCGTGGGAAACTTGGCCCCACATCTACTAAACCCCATTCGAGCCTTTGTACCGGATGGGGGAAAACCGTGACTAGGTTGTGTATATTACTACCCATCGGGGTGTATTGGCGACAGCCCCTATCCTCAATGGTTAGTCGTATGCACGATCCAATCTGCCCTTCCAATCGACCCGTTCGCACGGTGCTCTTTCGGAGGTCCATAACAGGATGGTGGGCCGACGAGCTTTCCTTTAAAAAGGGTTTGGCGATATCCTCTATTGATCATTGATACAACGATTGAGAGTCATAAGGAGATTATTATGCCGACGGGCACAGAATGATGACTCTTATTGAGCCAACGGATATATTTATGGATTTCTACAACAGCACTATGGATTTCTACAACAGTATAATGGATTATCGACTTAAAAAACGCCTTAATAGCCAGTTATTATACTTGTTCAGTAAGACTATTGTATTGAATTGCATGTGTACAGTATTATCCTTATGATCTCATTATGGATTTTATTGACATTTTCTTGTATGGATTTCGTGATATGAATTGATCTATTGATTTCTGATTGATTTATTGATTTATTAATTTCTGATTGATTTATTAATTACCCTACGCATGATTGATATCGACGGATTTATTGTTAGTGAATGGATTTATTGATTTATTGATTTATTGATATTGACGGATTTATTGTATTGAATTGATTTATTACTGAATGGATTTACGGGTTTACTGTTACTGTACGATTTCATTGATATTGCATGTTATTCATGTCACTGGATACCGACACCGATATGGATATGGATGTTGTATTGATTCATGGATACTGGCATCGATATGGATATTATATTGATTCATGGATACATATACCGATATTATTGATTCATCGATATTATGGATTCATTGATTCATGGATACTATTGATACTACAGATACTGATACCGATACTACAGATCCACTGATACATTAATTCATTGTATTGATTTTTATAGCACGTGACTATTGATGTATTGATTTGATTGATTTATTGATTTATTGATTTGATTGATTTGCTTGATTGTTAATTTATTGATTTGATTGATTTATATGATTTTATTGATTTGATTTCTACTATTCACTGATTCTATCATTGATGATTTTGGGATTCTATTATTTATGCATTGATTTCTATTTCTGTACTGATTTTCATACTTGCTGCATAGATTCACTAATCATGTGCAATTGAGTGTTATGGATTTGATAGATTGACATGCATATTGTTTCAGTACCGTACTTTGATTTCAGTTGTAGGCTTTGGTGATCTGCTGAGCTTTTTGAAGCTCATTATATGTGGTTAACAATTTCAGGTCAGAGCAAGGGAGCAAGAAATGATAGTTGATCAAGACTGTCGACGAATCCTTTCACTATGGATGCCTGGGGCGTCACAAATATAGACTTAAATATTGAATGTACTAAAAAATTTGCTCCTATAATGATGATCAATCAGACAGCATGGAAAATATGGGTGGAACCAGCCTTTCTTTTTGAGGGTGGGCAAAATAGGATCGTGAAATGCATAATTTTATGTATAAGATACAATTTTTTTTTTTTTTTTTAGAATTTTGGCAACTACATTTTAAGGTGGGCAAAATAATTAAAATATTTATTCTTCTAAAGGAAAAAAGAGATTTCAATGTGATCAATTGCCTGTCCTGAGCTCTTCTTGATTTTGCCGCCCATGGCAAAAAATGTTCTAAGAAAAATTTCACGCTAATAAATTTTATAATCTTATTCTAATAAATAAGTGTTATTCAAAGCATAATCAATAATGCATTGGGTCATGCAATATGAATAATTTTAAAAAATAAATTGATATATAATAACAATGTAATAAGTGCCATCAAATTATAAATTTAAAGTAAAATTGCATGATAGGAGAGCCTTGTTTCCTATATTATCTTTAACATGGACTAAAGTATTGATTATTCATCCTAGTGATTCAATTTATCGTAGTGGATCTTCTTCCTAACGCATTCACTCCTTATTGGTCATATTACCTTCTTATATTGCATGTGTGAGACCTGGCCCTAATGGCCAAATCACTTAAACCCCAAAGTTTGTTTCTTGTAGATATCAATCATAGTCCTGTAAAGCTTAGCATTAAATACAATTTTGCTCGAGGCAAAGCTCTCACCTTGGAGTTACATCCATGGTCATACAATTTCATATATGTTATTTTTTTTTTTTACCATTCACACTTGATTTAATGTTATTGCAATTGTGTAGAGCTACATTACATATTTATTATCCTTAGGTTAGCTCAACTATTATAATGATATATCAAACATGCATTGGAATTATGGAGCTTACCATCCCACCACTTATAAGAAAACTCATTTGGCTCTTAGAACCTCCACACATTCCTCTTTCATTAGTGTGAAGTAGTTAAGAAAACATTGAATTCTTTCCTTTCACTTTAACATTGTGATCCAATCAAGAGAACATCTAAAAGTTCTTAGTTATCTTGTTATGATATTGTTAAAGATACAATTGAATTGTCTTTCAACTCACTTTAGATGTGCAAACTCATTTGACTTTCAATGCCTCCCCTTGTTCCTCATTTGAATATTTGATAAGATCAATGAAATGTTGAATCGTCCTTCCATTTAATTTGTTGTTGCGACATTTAGGTCAAGAAAGTATCAAAAAATAATTTGATTCACTCTTATGATAATTAGGTTAGGCGAGCATTGGAGCCACACATCTTCACATACTATCATAAATGTGCAAGGTTGCTTAGTATATGAGGACTCTTCTACTTCTTTATGTGCCTACCATTTGTTAATATGATTACCTCCACAAGATCCCAATAAAATAAAATAAAAAAAGCAAAATCTTTTTTCCTCGACTATGTTGTTGAGATAGTCAAGTCGTGATATCTTATCTTGTTGATGCATATTGTTTGTCAAGAAAGTGTTAGAATTTGTAACTCTCTCAACCCAAGATTTATCCTTCTTATGCCTTTATAATGCAAAATTCAATTAAACCAGGTGTTAATTGAAATTAACAACTCTAAATTAGAATATTAATAATTTTTTTAATATGCATTAATAATTTATTTAACTAGTATATACGTGAAAAGGTTGGGATATATGCAATGACATATATGATTAGAGAGAGCCATTTTAGATGCTTTTGCCATATAAAACATCAACCTTTTAATGACCATGTTCAGAAAGTAGACATATTAGATCCACCTATAGTAAGAAAAAGAGATGTATACCAAAAAAGAATTGATTAGAAAGGATTAAAAATAATCTATTTTTATTAGATTTGAATGAGAACTTAATTGTTAATTCAACATAATGAAGAAAAATGATTTATATAGTCGGTTCCATATAGCTTGTTATTATTGTTGTTGTTGTAGTATTTCCTAAGGCTAACATATACATTCTAATTGCAAGGCTAGTCACTCCATATTCTAAGCGGCTACAAAAGAGTTATTCTCTTGCAATATGAAATTTGATTGGCCTTTGAAGAATAAATGTTTAAAGGTTGTTTAGTTTTTTCGAAGTATAATTCCATTTACTAAAACAGACCAGCTATGAGAGAATGTTATGTGCCACCTAGGGGTTCAACCGAGTCAAGCCAACTCGCGAGCCGGCTTGGACTCGACTTGGTAACAGCCTCGACGAGTCGAGCTTATCGAGCTCGCGAGTCGAGCTCGAACTGAGCTCGACAGCTAATCGAGCTCGATCTCGAACATACGTCGGACTCGACTCGTCGGCTCGATGAGCAGCTCGTGGGCGGGAAATCCAAACCTCGCGAGCGGAAAATCCAAAACAGGGGCAAAGCACGAGCGGATCTCGATAAGCTCAACTCGAACACTCCCTAGCTTGAGCTCGACTCGACTCGTTTGCATCCCTAGTGCCACCTCATGATTACCCTAAATTAAGTACCTAATCATTTATTAAACAAATTATACTTTTCTTTTTTAACTAATAGCTTTATCGTTAACCATAAAACAAATCTCGTAATAATTATTAACCGATAAACTATACCTTAATGAATTGGAGATGTCATATCATTAATAGTATTAAAAAAATGCATAATCATTTATTAATCATTTACGAAAGAAAAAAAATATAAATTCTGAGTCATTAAATATAAATACCAATTCCTAAATAAATTTTAAAATTTAGAAAGTAGTGATAGCAAAAAACTAAACATGATAAAATTCTGACGGAAGTAAAAAATAAAAAATTGGACCGTTAGGTTAAGGGGAATAGGAAAATTAAATTTGAATTAGCGAGAATGATTTCCGCCAAAATGACATTGACCGTTGAGAGCCATTGAGGCAATGTTTATAAAATGGAAGAATAGGCAGAGGTATAGTTCTATCTCTGTTTCTCGTTTTCTCCTGAGTTCTGCCTCTTTCCGATTTCCCATTTTCTGTCTGCGAAAAAGTGTTCCTCCTCATGGCTGGAAAAGGAAGGAAAAAATTGGATAATAAATTGATAGAGAAGGCCGAAGCACGAATGGTTTGCTTTTCAAAGCGCCGTAAAGGGTTGTTTAAGAAGGCGGAGGAGCTCTCGATTTTATCCGGAGCCAAAATCGGGATCCTCACTTTCTCTCAAGCTGGGAAGCTTTATTGCTCTGACGCTGAAATCCTGAATTCTCTCCTTTGTTCTCAAGTTGGCATCCCACAAGACAAAGAGATCGAAGATGATTGGGAATCTGCTTTTGCTGAAGATATGGAAGCCGAAGCTCACTTCTGCTCTCAATTTGATTCATACCCAGAAAAAGAGGTAGAAGACGATTCTTTGAATTCTGCTTATGTCGAAGCCATGGTTGAATAGCTCTATTGCTCCAACACCATAGCCGACTCCCTCCTCCGCCGTGAGTTCGAAATCTCCCCGGAGAAAGAGGCAGGAAATCATTGGGAGTTTGATTTTGCTGAAGCAATGGCTGGAAAGAATCTGCCTTTCTGGTTCAACAGAGTTGATGCTCAAATTATGAGCTATGAAGAGCTTCAGCGCTTTGAGAGAGCAATTTTAGAGTACGCCCAAATGCAGCAGGCCAAAACTTCTTATAAATAGGCTATAGATAGATTCATTTTCTCATGCATAGATTGATTGTTGTAATCATGATCTTAAAATTGTAATTTTGGCATTTTCATAGTTGTATCATGCATAATGTGAGACAAGTTGATTTGTTGTAGTGCATTCAATAAAACTTTTTTTTTCTTTGTTCTGATTTTAGTTTGAAAATGTATATTCTTTTGAATTCATCGGTTTCTTTATTTTATTTTTCTAACATCCTTTGTTCTCTCTTTATCCATTATATTTTTACTTTCTGGATACTAGTGAGAAAAGCTGCTCTGATTCTCTATGGAAACAGTGAGCAATCCTGTATTCATAGATGTAACAATTTTAGCAAATTAAGCTAAGGGTGATGTACGTGTCTGACTTCAACAGACAGTAAGAAGGATTCGAAGAGCTGTGGCCAAACTTCAACATATTTCTTTTATAATACATGACCTTAACAGATTTGGGATGGGTTGATTCATACAATGACTCGAAAAGTTATCAAAAATAAGATACAAACTATTACCAATAAGCAGAAACTTAAGTGGAGAACTTAATATCCCCAACTTAAACAAAAAGATGAGATTATGTATTCAACTTTTATTTCTTAATCATGTTGAGTGATTCAAAGAATTTAAAATATATATATATAATAAAGATCATCATTGACTTGTTTTAGTATGATTGAGAGAAGTTAATACATTTTCATACAGAAACAAGTAATCAATAATCAGCAACAACATAAGTTCTTTTGGTAAAAGATAAATATTCTGAAACGGTTGGATGATATCTTACTCATGGGAAATGATATAGATGCTATTTCCAAATTACTGGCAAATCTTGGTTAAGAATCTTGCCAATCTTCATATATTCCTTGGATTACAAGTTCAACGTTCTGACACAAGCATATTGCTACATCAAATATCAAATGTTCAAGCCTTACTAGACAAAGCTTGCATGGAGGACTGCCATCCTCTACAAATTCCCATTGCCCATAAGTCCCAAGATTCACCTGATGCCTTGCAACCATTCACTGATCCATATTTCTACTGAAATCTTGCATGATCTCAAATGAGACCAGATATCTCATTTGTTGTTAACAGGTTTATCAGCATATGCACAATCCCCTCCCTCAATGATCATTTTCAAATGCTGAAATGGATACTTATATATTTAAAGGGCACTATTTATGCTGGTCTACCAATACAACTCGACAACATGAAGATGACAGCCTATGCCGACTCTGATTGGGCAGGTGACAAGCTTGATAGAAAGTCCACCACTGGCTAATGTGTCTTCCTCGAATCTACACTAAGCCGGAGTGCGAAGAAACAATCTACCGTTGTTTGTTTTTCCATGGAATATGAGTATCGTGCACTTACCGCAGTTGCAACAGAGATTGTCTGGTTACGTCGATTACTACAAGAGTTTAAACTTCCTTGTAATACTCCTACTCTACTCTATTATGATAATATCTCAGCTAACTCACTTGCAAATAATCCTGTGTTTCATGCCATAATTAAGCACATTGAGATTGATCAGCACTATATTAGAGAGTACATCAAATCTAAAGTCATAATATTCATCACATCTCTACAAAAGACCAGATTGCCAATATTTTTACAAAGAGTCTTTCTAACAGTAGATTCAGGCACCTTCAAAACAAATTAACTCTTCGCACACGAACAGTCAATTTATGGGGATTGTTAATGCATATAGACAAAATGGGACCACTCATGATGATAGGAAGCTCTCCACATCACTACATCCAACTCAAGACATCAACAAAAAACGTTCAAGCCGACCTAGCAGTCTGCAAAACCAAATTCCTGAATTCATCACAGCCGTTCGTGAAGACACCAACTCAACGGCTTGATACTGTGCTCTCTTATCCTTATCTTATTCTATTAAGAACTATTTATGTATGTACACAGAACAGTTTAAAGTCAATGAATTTAGCATGGTTGAAAGTTCTCTATTTCATTTAATGTTCTTCTCAGTTTCTCAATCTTCTCCAGCTGCTAATTAATGCTTCTATAAGTTATGTTGCAGAAATTTATCATCTTCAATGCCAATCATTTGCAAGCCAAAGTGCTGAAATTGTATTGGTGCTTTACTAAAATCTTAAACTTTAAGTGTTGAAATAAATCTCATAGATTTAATATTGTCTTTTACTTTCAAATAATTAATAATAAACTGCTTTTGGTTGAAATGTATTAATTAGCTCTTTGTGTTGAAATCCTTTGGTTATTTCATTTGAAAATTGTCCAAAAGTATCAGTCACATTCCTTATCATTTTATCAAAGATCCTTAGACATAAAATCAGTTATGAGCCTTCATTGCTCAATCTTTTGGCAACGAAGTTGTAAAATGGTCAAGCTTTATGCATGATCATCATTTAAAGTTCAAATTTAGATAAAATCATTCTTATTTCATCAAATCAACTACAGTATTAACTCTCGACTCGTAAGCCCATGAAAGATTTAGGCTTTGATTAACACAAATTTCTTACAGCTTCTTAAAGTAAATTTTTAGTACAAAATTTTAATTTTTTGTTATAGAAAGTAGCTTTAAGAAGCAATAAAAAAGTTGTACCAAACGAAGGCTTAGGCTTCGTTTGGGACGGCTTTTTTACTGCTTTCTAAAACGGAGTTTTAATACAATTTTTTTTTAATTTTGTACTAAAACTCCGTTTTAGAAAGCAGTAAAAAAGCAGTCCCAAACAAAGCCTTAGACTTCGTTTGAGATAGCTTTTGGCCACTAATTTTTCGTTATTTAAAAAAAAAATTGATGCAAGAAAGCTGCTTTAGAAATTAATAAGAAAGTTGTCTCAAACGAAGTCTTAATGTGGCTCTAAAAACTATAGGCATGTATTGGGTAGCCTAAACATTTGAAGATTCGGTTTGTTGGGTACTCTTACTCAATAACGAATATTGAGTAGGTTTCTCAGCTATTAAGGATGAATTTTTATCTTGTAAGACAGGCTTAGCTATTCGTTGGGTTGTAGGCCAAATTATCTCATATTATTTTATATAATTTAGAGTCCATTCGGTAGAATTTACAATTTTAGATATTTGGCTGCAGTGTTCTAACAATTTTTTACAACCAAATAAATTGAACTGTGTAGCTGTAAAAAATATATTTTTAGACTATTTCAAAAGGAAAAAAAATTATATACCTCAAAAACTTTCAAAAAAATATTTATTTTTCTTATAAAACTTCTACAACTACTTTCTAAAAATTACATCTACCACAAACAAACACCTTCTCAGATTTTTACTTTGAAAACTTCTTAGGATAATTGTAACACTGATCTTTTATTAATTAAACAACTTTTTTTTAAGACGATATTAATTGTTGCAGGCTTGAATATACACGACGATAGAGTTTTAACTATACTTCTTAGCTTTTCACGGATATCCAGCTCACACACAGAAAACACAATATTTTTTACGTGGAAAACCCTTAAAAGGGGAAAAATCATAAGGCCTAGCCGAGTTGAAAATGATTCTACTAAAATATAAGTCGGTTACAATGGGTTGATTCGCCTCCGAGGGCGATTAGATTACAAATAACAACTGTACAATAGAAGTCTGGGTGTCAGGTGATGGTCTAACAGAACTTCGGGCCTTAGGTGATGGTCTGACGAAGGTGAGGGCCTCTAGCGAAGGTGAGGGCCTCTGGCAAAGGTGAGGGCCTCTGACGAGGGTGAGGGCCTCTGGTGAAGGTGATGGCCTCTAGCAAAAGTGAGGACCTCAGATGGTGGTCCGGCGAAGCTCCGGCGGTGGTCCGGCGAGGCTCCGGCGGTGGTCGAGGAGGAGCTTCTTCCTTCTCTTCTCTTCCTGATTGGGTCTCTTTTCAAAAGAAATGAGAGGTCTATTTATAGATTTTCTGGAGTGGCATGGCCCGTAAATATGTGAGAGATCAAGGGTAAATGAGGAATGGTTGGATGGACAGTCGATATTGAACCCCTTGATCATGGACCATTCGTGAAGCATTTTGAGCCCTTAATGACTTTGGAATTCAGTGATCTTGGGCTCGTTGGATTCATCTCGTCGAGCCGCTCGATTTGATTATAAGCTTGTCATATCTGGAAATCGTTTGGTAACTCAAACAGCCATATGAAGCTTCCAACAGCGCTTTGGGTCCTTGATTTGGGCTCGTATTGAGTCGAATTTGGTGTCGTTGGCTTCATATTTCCGAGACACTCAGTTTGACTGTAAGTTTGCTGAAATCGGAGTTCAGGTGACCTCGAATTTAATTTTTGAAGTTTCCAACTTGATTTTGCATTGAGATTCGTGCCCGATCTAGATGCTTTTTTGAGTACGTATCACTAATTATTAATAAATTAATTATATTGTAATTTATAAAATTATTATATATTAATTAGGGGTCTGATCATTATTAATTATTTACAAAAGAGATATATAATTAAAGATTAAGTTCATTTAAATAATTAATCCTAAATAAAATTTAAAATTTTGAAAATAAACTCAGCGGAAAAATTTGTAATGAAAAAATAAAATTCGGAGATAGAATTAGAATAATCTCAGATTATTTTCACTAAAAAAACATTATAAAAATTTTCTGGACGGCAAAAGACTGACGGAAATATTTTCAAACGAAAAAAAAAAGACCGTTTGGAAGATATTGAAGAAATTAAAATTTGAATAGCAGAATATTTGTTTTCCGCCAAAAAGATTTGATCGTGTTAAGGATCAGTGCAGCGTCTATAAATTGGAAGAATAGGCTAAGGTCTGCATACCTTATCTGAGATTCAGAAAGCCTCAATCCTCTCTGTCTGTCTTTCTCCCTCTCGCTTTCTGAGCACTGCCTACTTCCGATCTCTCATTTTCTCTCTATAAATATTCGTTCGCGGTCTCCTATATCTGATTTCATCTTTATTCTTTTCGTCCGTCAAGATGATCGGGAAAGGGAGAAAAAAGGTGGAGAACAAACTAATAGAGAATAGCTCATCCCGAATGGTTTGCTTCTCAAAGCGCCGCAAGGGACTGTTCAAAAAGGCGGAGGAGCTCTCAGTTTTATCCGGTGCAAGAGTTGCCGTTCTCGCTTTCTCTCAGGCCGGAAAGATGTACTGCTCCGATGCTCAAACTCTCAACTCCCTCCTCGATCCTCAGTTCAATATCTCCTCTGAGAAAGAGGCCGAAAACTACTGGGAGCTTGATTATCTTGAAGCCCT